AAAACCATTAAAACAGTGATTTGTTCAGATTTAAGCTCTAAAATATTAAGTAAATTTACAAGCCTGTACTTTGTTACTTTTACTTGAGTAAAGAAGTTTAATCTGTACTTCCACTTTTACCAGAGTATTTTTTAACACAAGTATCTGTACTTTTACTCAAGTACGGAAAATGAGTACTTTTGCCATCTCTGCCTATAAGTCATGCCATATTGGTGGTGCAAGGAAACAGAAAGTGATGGATTACTACCTGCAAGAAACAAACAACCCTGATCAATTAAAAAAGAATAAAAAAAATGCTTTGATTAAATTTATATCAAAAGGAGGATCAAAAATTGAATAACAGGTATAGTGAATGATTTTTGCGAATTTCTAAAAAGACCCGCCCTCTCCACTTAAAAAAAATAATAATTGAGAGCATGCAGGAGCCCATTTCTCCTTATGCATGCTCCATTTAAAAGTTGCTGTTTGCATCGCTCGTACAAGCTTACTTTCCAATTTTTCCACTATGTCAGTCCCACCACCAAAATTGAAAAAAGGGACGAGCACGTGGGACGGCCTTACATAAACATATCACCAGAATGATTGAAAATTAGGAGGACGACTTATTTTGATGATCCACCCTGAAAAAGCACATCCTCCACTATACCTTTAAATGGCTTAGATTAAAAGTTGGGCTTTTGTATATCATATTAATCTGCATGTTTACCTTGCATGCTAACAAATGTGAGACATTTTGTAATCCACATGCTACAATGAGGCAAATCTTATCTCAGTAATTTTTTTTTTTTACATCTTCTGTACTGTGTGTATACCCTCTTGTTTTTTTTGTCTTTGTTTTTCACAGGCAGAATTGAATGAAGTGTTGGAGGATGATGAGGGCCATGCTCCTGCTCAAACACCTGTCGCTTCCACTCCTACTGTTCCTAAAGTCCATGTGTCTTCTCCTACTGCACAAAGTGGAGGGTCAGGGTTGGAATCTCGCCTGTTGGAGCGGATTGACATGTACCAGAAAGCTATATCCAATGCCAAGGCTGCAGGCGAGACTAGTAAAGTTCGGAGATATGACAGAGGGTTAAAGGTAAACTGATCAAATAAGAAAGAAATTTCTCGTGTGAACCACTGTAGGCGTCTGTGATCCTCAGACTGACTCTGTATTTATGGTCTTCTCGGATTGTAGACGTTACAGACCATGCTGACATCTGTGAAAAAGGGGAAGCCAATCAACGAAGAAGAGATTCCTCCTCCGGTTGCCATCGGTGCAAAACCAAACGCTCCAGCCGAATCTGAACCTGTTAAGGAGCGAGAAGCGCCTGCGTTGATTCCTTCCCCTCCTTCCAATCAGAAACCACTGCGGGAATCCGCACCAGAAGCCCCAAATGTTAAACCCGCGCAACTAGCACTTCCCCACAAACCAGCTGCTGCTGTCACCCCAGAAACACCTGCGATCTCCCCCCTTACACCCAGCCAACCTCACACCCAGCACTCCGGTAACTGAGGGTTCCTTTTCTTTAGTGGGCTGATTGAAAACAAAGCTCTAGTCTCTGTTTTAGTTCTCTGACTGTAGACTAACAGGTATTCATGTCTTCTGTCCATCTAGAGCTGAAACAGGCAGTGCTGTCTAGACAGAGGGAATATAAGATGGCTGCTATAGAAGCAAAGCAGAGTGGTGACATCAACCTGGCTAAGCAGCACTACCTGGCTGCTAAGGTACCTCAGCCGATATCAGGTGGAGCAGAGCTGTTTGCGTCAAACTGATGGTAAACAAAAGGTTCTGTCATTGTAGAAGCTGGACTCGCTGGTGGAAGCTGTTGACAGAGGGGAACCAGTGGAACTCAGCTCATTACCTCCCCCTCCTGGTCAGTATCTACCACTGCAGTTATATAGCTTAATCCCTGCAGCTGTAAATACATTTCTATCAATTTATTTTATAAAAGTAAAAATTATGTTATGAATCCGGCCCCTACAGGCTCAAAGCAGTGCATGGATCTTTGTTCATACATGGACTAAATAAAAAGCTTCATTCAGGCAACGCTGCTGGTTATAATGTTGATTTTCATCACCATTTTCAAATGTTAAAACCAACCTCTGTATTTGGGATTTCTTTTTTGTTTTAGTGTGAAATTTTTGTTGTCCATTTCCGATCAATCTTCTCTCATGTTGTGCAAATATTGAGCATTATTAGGGGAATCACAGGTTTAACTCAACTTCATGCCGTTACATCCAGGTCCCAGTATTTACAGTGCAAATGAATCGGCTGGACCTCAGTAAAAACCAGGAGGGTTAGCTAGATTAGTCCGTTTCTTATTTCCTATCCAATCAGCAATGGCAGAAGCTAAACCAGGAGCACGGAAGCATTTTTTAGTAGATTTTTGTTATACAGCTAACAAGTGTCTATCCCTGCACGGCTGTCTGTTTTTTGTTTTGTTTTTTTCGACAGAAGATGCAGTGGAACAGCAGAGAGCGTCTGTTCCTCCTCAGTCTTCTTCCAAAGCTGCTGCTCCTGCTGCTCCTGCAGCACCTGCTGCTCCTGCTGCCCCTGCACCCCAACAGATGACCCAAAACAGTAAAGTTCCCTTTTTTTTTTCTTTTTTTTTATGGTGCTTTTGAAATACTGTGATTGCAATAAAAATTAAAAATACATTTATCTACAATTGCTGTCTTGTAATTTCCGACTGAAAGTTTCTTTATAATTGAGTGCCTTTTAAAGTGGATTGCTTAGTTAAAACATAGGATAAAAAACAGAGTATGGAGGACCCCAATGTTTGGTAATCCATGAGTTCCACTTTATTGTGTTACATGATTTCAGACATTAATGATCAGCAATTGATTAGTTCTGAGCAGATGCAGAAATTAACATTTGGTTGGCAAAATATGAAGAAATAGAATTTAACGCATGGTAAATTTAAAGCAAAACATGAAATAATAAAACGCCTATTAGAAGAACAGAAATGAATAACCAGGTAATATTAAGTGCTTAAGCTGGGCTGAGATGATGTTGTTTTGTTGTTTTTTTTGTTTTTTTAGCTGTTTAAATATCTTAATTATGTTTGATGGAGCCAACATTGTTATTTATTTTATGTTTGTTCTTTTGAAAGACCTTCCTGCCCCCACCAGTGTGGCAGAAGCGCTGAAACAGAGGCTGGAAATCTACAAGCAGGCAGCAGAGGGTGCTAAGAGCAAAGGAGATGATCGGAAGGCTCGCATGCACCAGCGCATTATGAAGGTAACCACTGCATTGTTTTTAAGGCAATCTCTCCTATGTTTTTTCCTCTTTTAAAGATACTTCATCAAGCTTACTGAAGCAGAATTAAAGAAACCATAAAACATTCAATTTGTTATTTATGTCATATGCTTTTGTTTGTTTTGCCTCTGTCACTCAGTGGAAACTTGACTGGACAGTCTTTAGCTTTCCCTATAATCTATAGTGTTGGCTAAATACCCTGGATGGGTGATTCTGTCAAATTTCACCTAGGTCAGAGTTTTAAACACCCTGCACAAATGTTATGTTGTTTGGAAATGCGTTAAAGGTAGTTCTCATAATAATAGTCCAAACCCACTCTTGGTCTTATCTAACTTATTTAACCTCAGAGTTTTGCACTTCACTTTTTGCGGCGACAAGCTAAATAAATAATGCTTTTTTTTTAACACATTCAAGAAAGTTTAAAAAGTTATTTTCTAGTTTTAATTAATATAATAAAATAAGTTCAACATCATTTTGAGCATTTTTCTTTTTTATTTTCCATAGTGCATATAAAAAAGGATTGTCTTATAGAATTATCTGCTTGACAAATGTGTACTGTATGTGCTAATGCAGTTTTACCTTGCTTAGCTGTTAGACATCACTGCCAGCAAGCAGCCTCACATTCTGTAAGATGTTTTAGAAGATTTGATCCTTTCCTCTAGTTTTGTGTGTCTGATTTTTATTTTATTTTGCAAATAGCAAATATTTTAAGCACTTAACTTGTCTAAAATGTGCCCAGTCTCCTGTTGAAAATAGTTTAACTGCAGAACATTCAAAAAGATTCCTCCAATGCATATTAGTGCAAAGAACTAATTACCATATTTTCTGTATTAAAAGTCGCTCCGGAGTATAAGTCGCACCAGCCATAAAATGCATAATAAAGAAGGAAAAGACATATAAGTCGCATTTTTGGGGGAAATTTATCTGATAAAATTCAACACCAAGAACAGACATGTCATCGTGAAAGGCAATTTAAAATAAAAATAGAATTACGGCAATAACAGGCTGAATAATTGTATGGTATGCTAACATTAAATGACACATAAACAACGAACTGAGAACGGGCCTGGTATTTTAACATATTAAGAGTTATTCAGATAACTATAGCATAAATTAACATGCTAACAAGTTTATCAAACCATCCTTGTCACTCCAAATTACTAAATCCAATGAAATCTTCATCCTTTGTGTCGCTTTTAAAGAACTCGGTTTACTTAAAACTTTCATCCTGCTGCTCGATACAGTTTTCAGCTGCAGTAATCTGCAGATTATGATTTTCTTTTCGGATCATATTTTATAAGCCCTTCCCGGTTGTTTTTTAGAAGTTAACACCAATGTTGAAATTATCAACACAAGCCTAGAGCGCCCTCTTGCGTTTTAGTGTGAAAACATGTGAAATTATATAGTAATGTGTTAATAATGTCACACATAAATCGTTCCAGAGTATAAGTCGCACCCCTGGCCAAACTATGAAAATAAAAATGCGCGTTAAAGTTGGGAAAATATGCTATGAACAAACACCAGGCTCAGATGAAGATGGCAAGCAAATGCACAGTAAAAAAAGAAATTAAGAACTATTCAAGGTCAATAAAGCAATTTAATCCTTTTTATGTAACTGTAGACGTGTATTAACACTATCCATGGCACCTATTGGTTTAAAAAGACATGTTTCCTGCTTTAAACCAACAGCTGTTGTTGTTTTTTTATGAGTAAAGGATTGCCGCGTTAATCCAGGACTTGGACCTCACTGTTGGATATGGTCTTTCATCACTTTTATGGTTGTGTCTTTGGTTGAAGCTCCTAAAACAGTGATCTGATGGAAAAATTAGTTGACAATTGCTCATATCAGCAGGGTGTGAAATCCTGATTGCATCTGCATGTTGTTAGAGCAGTTTACTTTCTAAGTTTATATCAGATATGAAGGTGTGCACAAAAATGGGCAAATTGCAGAGTTTGCTGTTTCTCCAAACACATTTCTCATATTTATACTAGTAAAGCTATTTTTAAAATGCTATATTTTTTATTATTATATATTAACATTATTTCAGCTGTTGTTTTACATAAATTCTTTGTCATTTATGCTTTTTTTTCACCCTTACAACCACTTATTTCCTTCAATTTGGTGTTAATGTCACAATTATGATTATTAAATTGTTCACTTTTTAGTTGGGAGCCTCAATTTACCATCCATGTTTCTTTTTTTTTCCTTGTCACTCTCGCTATTAACAGCAATACCAGGATGCCATCAGAGCTCACAATGCAGGACGACCCGTCAACCTTTCTGATCTGCCTATTCCTCCTGGTAACATTCAGAACTTTTTTTTTTTTTTCAGGTTTCACTCCAGTTACATGATTAGAAAGGTTAATTTGTATGTGTTTGTCCTTTATCCAGGCTGCCCACCTCTCCAGGGCTCAGAGGGGAGTCAGCAGAACCTGATAGGTGTCCTAGAAACGGCTATGAAAATAGCAAATCAGGATGCAGACGCAGAGGATGACGATGAGGATGGACAAAAAGAGGCAGCTAAGGTGGGAATAAACGGATTGCTGTGCCAAATGTCCAAATTGTTCTAGAGCGGCCAGGGAATCTTGATTGTCTGTGGATTAGAGGAAGTAAAGGCTTCATTGTGAGCCATTTTAGCTCCTGCAGCTTCAAAGGAATATTTTTCCTTCAGTATTGTTCTCTGTTTGGCAGCTCCCACCCACTGCAGGAGTCTTTGACCACCTATACTAAGGCAGTATTTACAAAAAAAATGCTTTTTATATTAGTGCACCATGTGTTCACTTACCTTAAAGTAACAAAGCTGTCACCCAGACATCTGCTGGTAGAGTTATGAGTGTTTTATGATTTTCTTGTCTGTAGCCTGCAGTGCGTCCTTCTGTGCAGAAAGCAAAGTCTCCAGCTCCCCCAGTCCCCGCTGGATCCTCAGCTCCAAAGCTGGGAGCTAAAGGTCTGTTAAAATCTCTGCATTTTTACCTTCAGTGTCTGCAATGCTAAAATAAACACAACCTGGGAACTTTTCCCATGTGCGACTTTATACCTTCCACGTTTAATTCTGTATGTCAGCACCCAAGGTAGGTCAATACACATCCTGAGAATTATGTTCTTTCCCGTGTCCCGTTTCCTTTTTGCAACAGAGTTAAAACTTAACCAGATGCTTGCAATCATAAAACGGTTTGTCATACTTCCAGGAGTGGCTTTCTTCTTGCCCTTACACTTCTATGAAGACCATAGTTGATATTTGGTCCCAATTATAGATATTTAGTACAGATGTTTCCTTCTTTAGAGTTGCTATTAAAGTGATTGCTGCTTCTTTAGTCAATGCTTTCCTTGCCCAGCCTGCTAGTTCTGCTGGAAAGTTATGTGTTGATTGTTCTCACAGTTTAGCCACAGTCTCTCAGCCACAGTTTTCAGATGATCAATTGATCAGAGCTCTGTGAGATTTTCAAAGCTTTAGGTCTTGCTTTATAGTGTAACTGTGCTTGTGACTTCTGTAAGAATCTCTTCCTGACCTGCTTGCTATGTTTGTCTTTTAGGATGAAATCTTGAAAGCATTCATAGAACAGCTGGTTTTATACTATTTAACATCTATTTACAAATTAGTTGATTTCTAAAGGTTTCTTTATGGGTGTCAGAATAAGAGGCATGAATGTGACTGAATGTATGACAGACTTTAGTTTTAAGTTATTGCTTCTGTCTGTGATTTTTTTTTTTTTTTTTTTTATACCAGTGATAATACATTTAGTGAGCAGATCCGTTTATGTTTTCAGCCCAGCAGCAGGTGGACTTCCTGTTGCTACGGCGACAGGCCTTTATGCGTGCAGCGCTTCGCTCCAAACAAGTGAAGGTGAGTTATACTGTGTTATGTTTTTTTCACCTGTTATGTGTTCCTCTGCCTTAGTTAGCAATGATTCGTTGATGCTTTGGGTGTTTTCAGGACATGATTGGAGCAAAGCAGCACCTCAGGAACGCCAAGGGACTGGACAACATGATCACAGCTGCAAAGTCTGGCCTACCTGTTGATATCACAAAGGTAATGAAGATATTTCCTTAAAAAAATTTGTGTTTTAAGGTGACTTTGGTGCATCAGATGGGAAGCTTTATTGGTAGGTGTTTATACTGCATCAGTCCTACATTATTTTCGCCCCAAGGGATTTATTTTAGAATATCTGACTTTTATTGAAATAACCCACTGATTACCCTGACTTAACTTTCCATTGAGTTACCCACAATGCCGTGGTTCTGTCTCTTACTTTCAACAGGATGTCTTAAGTGTCAATTCACTGAATTGATTTTCAAATATAATGTGCTGTAAATAAGTTTGTTTTAATTTTAAGTGTTCAAAGAGACGCCTGCAAGCAGGATGCAACCCTTGCAATAATTTTCATTTTAGTGTGAAAAACAGCAATTCCTAAATTTTCCTTTTAGAACAAGCATAGCAAGTTTCTAAAGGAAATAGGACCATAGATGTCAAGAAACCTTTGCCCAGACACAAACTTGAATGCAACCCTGTTTAATTAGAGAAAGAGTGACTTTTACTGATTTTGCTGCTGAAACTAAATATGTTCAACTTTAAGAAAAAAAAAGTAAAGCAAGTTGAAATTTATGACGCCCAAAAGTACTTTCAGCTTCACAGTTTTGACATGTGTGGTAAAAGTTTAGTTGCTAAAGATGCAGTTCTTGTTTGAGTGCCTTTTTGGTTTTATTGTACTCATTACTCTTTTGCTTTTGGAGATTTTTGTTTTGTTTTTTTAATCCATACACATGGTCACAGCTTCTCACCTCTTTCATACAGATTCCAAGTGCTCCAGTGAGTGAGGAGGATTATTCCCTGGGTCGCTCCCGGACCTCTCCTGTCTCCCCTCGCTCCAGTGAAAAGTACCACGACCTCATGGACCGCTTACGAAATCAACATAAGGTTAAAATCTTTTTCTTTTTTCTTTTTTTCCTAAGAAGTCTCACTTTTATTATTCACACAGCAATCAATTCATGTTATCATAAAACTAAAAATCTTTAGGTCTTCATTTGTTTTGTTTTTTGGTAAAAACAATTTTTCTTGCTTTGCAAACATTTTTTTTTGTCATCAGTGATCTTGTTTCTTCTGTGTCTTCTTGGACAGAAATTTTCAGATCTCTGTCAGCAGTTCACTCTCATGGGAAACATACCTGAGGCTTTGAAGTAAGAAACACTTCTCCTGATTGTATTCATTCATTTATTGATATACAGGACTTCAAATGTTCTCCTTTCATGTAATTTTGTCCAATAAAAGTAACTAAGCTTTCACCTTTTCCTAGTATTTGCAAGCTCTCTGGTTCACTGGATTGACAGGGATTTAACTCTTTCACGTTTTATAACATTACAGAGAGTGTTTGCCGGCTGCCTGAAACATATCATAGGCATTTTCCCATGACACTCATCTCGTAAGATTAAGCCACAGTCCTTAAGGGTCCTGCCTTTAAAAAAAATAAATAAATAAATAATTTCAGGCTGCAAATCACCGTAACTGGTGTGGTTTTTGTTTTTTCTCCACCCTTTAATAATCCAGCTAGTTGCAATGGAAAAAAAGCAGATGACAGGATCAAAGTTTCAAAGATTTTTTATGACTGTTGACTTGAAAGTTAGGTTTAGGTATGAGGATTAGGGGATAACAGACTGCTGAAGAGAATCTACCAGGGATGCCCCAATCCTATATATAGTTTGAAAATAGGTTTGATATTAACCCAAAAAACAAATATTGGCATATATCAGCCTACACCTGTGTTTAGGTGTAAAAATTATTGCGCTTTGTCACACAACACTTTGACCACTAGCTCTGCAGACTTCAGGGTTTTATACAATGAGTGTTTGTGTGGGAGTCTCATTTCTGTTTGCCCTCCCTTTAGGACTGAGAAACTTGTTGAAGAGACCATGAAGTACATAGAGATGCTGAAGAATGCCCATGCCAACGGTCAGCCAGTCCCCAAGTGCCACACCCAGGAGAGAACCTTCAACTCTCCAAAGTAAACCTCTTTTTTCCTCTTCAGATTTTGCTCAATATTTAACGTTTGTATGGAAGGACTTAACAGGATTCTTAAGTTTGAATCCATCTTTGAATCATTTCAGAACTTGTAAGGCAGACTCATATACATGGGTTGTAGTTTGTACCTTAATTTCAGGAACATGGTTTCATTCTTTATAATACTGTGCAAATGTATCTTTATGTAAACTTGTTTTATTGTGATGAGCCATGAGTGAAGTAGGGACAACATAAACTTCTGAGAGGAGTGACTTGAGTTTTTGGAAAATGTGCAAGTCATGTGACAGGC